TAAGCAACGGGCGGATGGTGAACTACATAGATAGCTCCGATCTACCTCGGTGATCAACCGAAATGCCAACAATAGATTTGGTTTGAGAGGTGACACTAAAATTTGAGACAGACTTCAGTGTTTGACATAACTGGCGGATATTAGTGCTCAGAAATATCTTACTGCATAGTAGGCTGCAATCGCTTTCACTTGCTCAAAATCGTTTGCTTTTGATAGGGCTGAAAGTCCCTCCGGGTAAAGTTTTCCGCATGTAGGATATAATTTGGAGCGGTCTTCGTTGGATAGTTCAGTCCCGAAAGAATTAATCGTAATAATAAAAGCCCGCCGGTCAGCTTCAAATGCCAATATCTCACACATGACTTCCGCTGTTTTTCCGCCGAGTTTCTTGCAGAACTCGTAAAAGTCTTCAAGGTAAGCCTAGGAAATCACTCAGTGAATTGACTTTGAGTTACTTTGTACAACGTGTTACGAATTATTTCGATGTTTAACTCATTCAAATCTTGTTCAGATATACAATCGATGAAATACGGAGCTGAAAATTTCATTGCATAAGGCGGGAAAATTACCCAATGGGGTGTCCACCAAAACAGCATTATACAACTCTGCCGGGTTGGAAGCAATGTTTAGGGTCTCCATTTCCAAAAAAGTCCCCAAAGGGTGACACTTGGTCATAAGTTCTGCGATTGGCCTTCCATGCAGCGTACCCGTTATCAACAGAACTATATTATCAATCATGTAACTGTAGGTGATATAATCCAGAAAAGTAGATAGAGGCTCAACAGCTTGATTCCGGAGGTGTAGGAACTCCCTCACAAATTTTTCTCTTATCTTTTCTTCTATTGTTCCAACGGTGAGCGGGCTTGGTTCGTTTGCTAGGAATTCGCCATAATCTGTGTCTTGCAGATGGAGCTTCAAGTCTAACAGTCGACCCTAAACAATTTGAACTGGAAAAATACCTTCTAGCGTTTCACATTGAACCAAGACATGATAATCTCCTTGTTTTAACAAACCAGCCTTGATTCCACGGGCCAATCCCTCCAGGTATCCGTTATCCGTATTGAAATTCAGCATCGAAACACTCGACACATCCAACATCTTTGCAACGCAAATATTCAAAAGAACCGCGTTGAT